GCGCCGCGATGCGCCCGCCTGCCACGTCGCGCCTAAGCCTCCCACGCCGTGACGCCGTGTTGGATATAAATATGTGATCGGGGGATCGCGATGGGAGGATCTGCGCTTGGACAGAAACAAAAAAACCCTACCCACTCTCTTTTCACTCGTTCTTCTCTTCTCGTTCGTAATTTTCAACGTAGAACAAGGATTTGAACTCAGATTTTGCTACTGCTTTCGGATTAATCTTGTTTATCGGATTCATCATTCAATTTTCATCATTCATGAGTTTTTCTATACATCTAATCCATGGATATGTTCACGTTGATTATGGTGGTTTGTGTTGATAATTCCATTATGAGTGGCTAAATCTTATGCTAGGGATAGGGGATTGATGTTTTGGAATCGTTTTTGATTGTCGAGCTCAAGATTGTTCAATTTGTGCGAGTTAATCTTTTATTAGGGTTCTTCAACTGTGAGGCTTGAGTATTGATAATTGTTGAAGGGTGACACTTCAACTTACAGTTGTTTCAATTGAATTTGATTTGTTCATGCTTGAAATTGGTGAATCTATTTGATTAGACGGTTAACCACCCTCCAGCGTACTTTAATCGACTCTTAGAACCGAAAGGAGAGAAGTCGGTCGAAATAGGCTCGTATGAACTAGGCTTGTTCGTAACTGTATTGCCTAGGAGTTAAATGAATTGTTAATTTGCCGTTCTAGTTTGTTCTCTTGTTACGAAAAGTTATTGAGAATGAGTACTTGAACGTGTCGATTATTCAAATCACTTAGCTGAACAATCACTTGCCCATTAATTGCAATACGAACCAAAACGGATCTCCCCGATTCCCTAGCTTCTCAAATCCTAATTGTTCTTCGTTACTTGCTTTTTTTTATTGCTTAATTTGAATTCTCGCAGTAGCTGATAATTAAACCAAAACCAATATTTGATTTAGAATGTTTAGGAATTTTATTTCCTTTATTAGTGCTTGAATAAACGTACAGAATACTCCGGCTAACCTTCCTCGTGAGACACGACCCTGTGTTCGAATCTTTAAATTCTACTCCAGAAAAAATATTTAGAACAATCTCTCTGAACTATGAATCAATAAAACTAACCTGTAAAGCGAACGGTCAGCCGGTCCCATCATCAAAGATCAAGACTTTGTATGGGAACGCGTGTCACTCTCCCCCATACCTTTTGTTGGCATGTAACCATCATTACATTTATACCCTTCTGCATAAAATACGGCCATTCAGGCTTTTGAATGGTCATCGAAAATCCATTGATACAATGTTGTTACGCACTCTCTTATGCCAATCTCCTTAATAAGTGATCATCAATCTTGTGTCCTAGCTTATTTCTCCAATTTAATGCCAAAACCCTACTTACATTAAGAAAACCAATTTAATATCCACGTCAACGGATATTCAGTTATCCCTAATCAGGGGCGGATTCAGAAATTTTGTAGAGTGTGGGCCTAAAATTATTTTCGAGAGATGCCAAAATGGTCTAAAAAAATGTAATTTTTATTTTTATAAATGATTTATTTAAAAAAAATATGATTTGTAAAATCATAAATATAATTTAAGTGCTTGTACTCAAATTCTTTTACAAACTAAAACTATTGTCCTAACTCTTTTAATCGAGTTGTAGCATGAACCTTAGGAATGAATTGTAGAGAAAAATAAATTAGAATCATAATGTTGTTACCATATTTACAAAAGAGAGATTGACTCGAACTGGTCGGAACTTAAATCAATCAGTTGGTCATTTTGGTTTGAACAGAAGGTCAAAATTGGCCAAGTGAATCGATCCAAGTTTTTTCTTGTTGAAAAATAAGTTGTGATATTTTAAATATATTTTTAAAATAAATAAAAATAGTTATGTTCATATTGAATATGTATAAATCATTATATTCATTAGCTTAGACATTTGATTATTTTTAAATTATCTGAATATTTAATTATGAATAATATTATACGAAAATAATAATTATAAGTAATACTATATATATATGTAATATATATATATATAGTAATTATGAAGTGAATAAAAAAATAAAATCAAATGCACCATTAGTTGGAAACAAGTAAAGGACACTATCATCAAATTTTACTTTCATTCGTTTTTCCATATGTATTTTTATCTAGAGTTTTGTATGCTTGTGAAAATAGGCATATTAGAAATATCTAATTTGACATCCAATGTAAATGTTTTTACTCAAAATTTGAGTGAGGGCCTAGGCTCCCACTGAACTCAATATAGCTCCGCCCCCGTCCCTAATCGCATTAATACCCTATAAATCAACCCCTTTAATTGTAGTTGATGTTCTAATGTCAACAGTTTCATTAACTTTTATTGTATTTAATTTCTAACTCATGTATATAGCAAAAATTACTAAAAATAGTGTATGAATTAAAAACGTACTAAAATTGAATATCTGACCATCTCGACCAGCCGCTGTCGGCCAACACCATTACCCGTCGTTCGTCGATCGTCTACCATAAATGAATTTTAAAAAATCATATGACATTTTAATTAAGTTCTCAACTTGATCTATCCAAAGACATGTTTAATTTTATCATACGATATCTCAAACTTTGTTAAAATGTTATTAGAGTTTCAAAAAATCAAAGAATTACGCAGTAAATTATTTTGGAATGTCACCGAAGACCCGACCGTTGGATATTTGTGAAACTTTTATGTGTAGAAAGCTATTTTCATAAAGAATCCAACGGTATCTCTCGATCGTAGATCATTCCGTTAAATAGTCAGGAAAACGCCAGTGAAGGTTCTAAATTTTAGACAGTGCGGAGTTGCGGGATGAATACTTTAACCGACGACTTCTGGGTACTCAGTTTTCCGAATTTGATGAGTAAACTCTCACTATGTTCCTCTTTTCATGGGCAACAATAAGCCTTAATCAATTTGATGTTTTGACTCATATGAACCTTCAAAACAAAATGATATTTTCTGCAAAATTTTTCATATTTTTTTGGTTAATTCCATGTCATTTTTCTGGTGGTATAAGAACTAATTAAGCTAAAGTTTGAGTGCCAAAAGCAAAAATAACATAATGTTTGGGTACCATATAATTTTTTTTTCATTAGTTTTCAAGTAATGATAATTTAGTAGTTTAACTAATGATTTAAAAATTATTTAAGAAAGTGAAAGAACACATGTTATAATTTCAATGGTGCATATTGTATTGTATGCACGAGGGGTAGACCGTGAGGGTTGAATGACCAAAAAAAAAAAAGATATAATTACAATAGAATTGGGCAGTTCAAATGATATTGATGATACTCTTAAGACTATATTAAATGATATTGGCAAAACTCCCCAAAAATAATTGTACTACTCAACCAAGTCGTGTGGTTTGCACAAAAATGAAAAGACACATGAAATCTATCGGAACAATTATTATTATTATTATTATTATTATAATATTAAATAATAATAATATTATTATTATTATCTATACTTATATTAAAAGGTATACCATTTACCAGATTTAGTATAAAAAAAATCAACAACATTTATTGCGTTACTATTTCCGTATTATACAATCTATACTTATATAAAAAGAGATTCTACTATATTTACAATCCAGAAAAGTCAACTGCATTAAATGTCATTACTATTTTGGTATTATAATATTTTATATATTTAATTGATTTATTTATTTGTTTGATTTTAAAAAGGTAAGTATAATAAAAAGATTTTAATAATAAAAAAATCAAATACCAAATAAAAATGTATACTTTGACTTATTTGATTATATTTGGTATTTGATTATACCAAATATATTCCTATTAGTATATACATTAAATACTTACTAAAGTATTTATTTGTTTTATTTTTCAAAGTTAATTATAGATTTGGTTATATTATCAAATCATCTGAAAATTTTGAGGGAGCTCAAGATTCTCTCGTTGGGAGCTCAAGATTCTCTCGTTGGGAGCGATCTCAGTCTCTAATCCTATTCTCATCCGTTACGTTTGTTCAATCTCATAACAATTACCGGATTCTCATTGTTGATCGTCCCTCAGAAAAACCATTATCAGTAATATCTATTTTTCTAGGGTTCTTGATATGGAGAACAGCCTTCCCAATAATCCTGACGATGAGCTATCATCAAGGATGAATGACTTCTCATTATCTGAAAGGGAAATCAATGTTATAGATATTGCCAAGGAAGATATACGGCTAAGCGATGATGAATGCCAAAGAAGCTTATTTGGGAAAGTTATTGGGGACAGAGTTGCCGGATGGTTCGGAGTGAAGAGAGCTATGACCCAAATATGGAGGCTAAATCAGCAGATGGAAGTAAAAGAACTCAGTCCTAACTTCTTTCAGTTCATTTTCCAAAGTAAGGAGGATAAAAATCGGGTAGCGAGTGGATCCAACTGGAGCTTCGAAAATCAGTATTTGATCCTTAGAGAATGGTCTCGCAACATCAGCAGTAATCACTCTAGCTTCAGTGAGATCAACCTATGGGCTCAGGTTACAAATCTACCTCTTAATTGGTTGAGTACTGATGTGGGACTGAAGATAGGAAGAACTTTTAAGGAAATCAATAATGTAGTTATTGTGAACAACGGCAGTCATGGAGGTAAGATGCTAAGGCTACTTGTCACATTGAATCTGAATGAACCTATTCCCAGAATAGCCAATATCCGGTTAGGTGATGACATTGTGACTGTGGGCTTTAAGTACGAAAAGCTTATGAGCCTGTGCCACTACTGTGGCAAAATAGGGCACTTGGACAGGACTTGCCAGGCCAGAATCCAAGATATTAAAAACAAAAGTCTTAAAGAGGGCCAATATGGCGATTGGCTCAAGGCTACCGAATGGCAGAAATGGTAAACAGGAAGCCAATCAAGAAATATGAGCTCCTCTCCTTCATCCCCTGCATCTGACCCGGAGCTTAGACGAACTCATAGAACAACTCCAATCCAGGCAGATCACAGTAACCAAATCATCCCCATCCATGAAGTTAACCCCTCTCACTCAATGCAAGCTACAGTAGATCCTCAATCCTCTCCTTCCTCTGTCAGGGTTTCTACTGCTTTATCTATCTCTGCTCAGAACAATACTCCTTCTCCAGATGCTGTTTTGGTTGATCCTAGGCCTTTAGAAAAGGAGAAATCTGCATTGATGGAATTTGAAACTGTTGAGCGTACCCATCAAACAACTCAGCTGGAGAAGAAACCCACTGGCCCTGCCAAAACATGGAAAAGAATGGGGAATAAGTCTGGTCGATTGCTAAGGGAACCTGTCATACCCATTGTGATAGACAATGTCTCGGGCCTGAAGAGAACCTCTGCAGAATGTGAGCTTCCATCCTCATCCAAAGATGCCAAACTTCTGAAGCCAGACACAATACACAAACCTCAAGAAGATTCTGAAAAGGTGGGGGTTGCCAGCCTAGAATGGCACCCAAGTGGTCAATGCTAGCCGTGGTGTGGAATTGTAGAGGGCTGGGTGGGCCCTCTACAATTTCCCAAATCAGAGAGTTACTGAGAACTCATCACCCATCTTTTCTCTTCCTTTCAGAAACCAAAAAATCAAAAGCCTACATTAATACAGTTAGCAACAAACTGGGTTTTTCTGACAGATTTACTACAGTGGACCCCTTGGGCTGCAGTGGTGGACTGGTTTTGTCCTGGAATTCCCAGGTGATTATTAAACAAATAATATGCAAGGAGTTCTATATAGCTGTCGAATTTTTGTTATCCTCCTCTACTCCTCAATGGGGAATTTTTGTCTATCTCAACCCCATTAGAAGCCTCAGAGTTGAACAATGGGAAAGTCTGCTTAATGATAAACTCTCCTGGGGTAACAACTAGTTTGCCATTGGTGACTGGAACGACATTCTCTCAAGTGGGGACAAACTAGGAGGTAACCTCAGAACCCCCAACTCTTTCTCTGGGTTCACAAGTTTCATCAGAAGAATGGCTATGGAAGAGATCAAAATGTTAGGACCTCCATTTACCTGGAGTAATAACAGAGCAATCCCTGACTTAGTAGAAGAAAAATTGGATAGAGCTTTTGGCTCTATGGACTGGCACCAACAGCACCCCAATGCAACTGTCACAAATCTTATTAAAAGTGCCTCTGACCACTCTGCCTTGGTTCTCAATCTGGGACTGCCAAGAGAGAGGATAAGAGCTATTTTCCACTTTGATAAGAGATGGTTAACTAGGGAGGGATGTGACGAGGTAGTAAAGCAAGCTTGGATCTCAGAGGTTCATGGCACTCCTTTTTTCCAACTCAAGGAGAAAATTAAGATCACCAGAGTAGCACTGCTGAAATGGAGCTCCTCTTTCCACACTGAAGGACAGAAAACCATTGCTGCTCTCAATGCAAAGCTTGAGTCACTGAACCAAAATAAGGCAGACATCATTTGGGAGGAATGGGAGACAACCAGAAGATCTTTGAACCAGGCTCACAGGCAAGAAGAATTGTACTGGCAGCAAAAGGCCAAATCTAAATGGTTGAAGGATGGAGATGCAAACACTCGGTTCTTCCACTCTCTTACAATGCAAAAGAGGAGGTATAATGCTATCACCAGGCTAGTCTCTCAACAAGGCCACATTTTCATCACTCAACAGGAGATAGAGAAGCATATTGAGGAGTTTTACTCAAACTTGTTCTCCTCTGAAGGTTGCTGGGGTGGGGAATCCATTCTCCCTCTCATTCCCACTTCTATCACTGCTGACATGAACCAAGATTTGCTCAAACCTGTTGAAGAAGAAGAGGTCAAGAACTCTTTATTTAGTCTTCATCCAGACAAATCTCCAGGAGAAGATGGGATGACCGCAGCCTTTTACCAGCATTTCTGGCCTCTTATTAAGCAAGACATTCTAGCAGCACTGGCAAGCTTTTTCAGTTCAGGTAAAATCCTCAAATACTGGAATCACACAGTGATCTCTCTTATCCCAAAATGTGCAAATCCTGAATCATTGGGGCAGTTTAGACCTATAAGTTTATGCAGTGTGCTTTACAAAATAATATCTAAGATTCTGGCTCTAAGACTTAAGAATTGCTTGTCAAGCTGCATCAGTTCATATCAAGCTGCCTTTGTAGAAGGCAGACAACTTGTTGATAATGTGATCATTGCCCAAGAAGCCTTTCATTTTCTAAATAGGCACTCCTCTGGCCCTAATTTTTTCATGGCTTTGAAGCTGGATTTAATTAAAGCTTTTGATCGTGTGGAATGGTTATGTCTAAAGAAGATAATGTTGCAAATGGGTTTCCATATGGATTTTGTAAAGCTGATCATGATTTGTGTCTCTTCTACTACCTTCTCCTTTAAAATCAATGGTTCTCTCAGTGGCTATGTGGCTCCTTCTAGAGGTATTCGGCAAGGGGATCCTCTATCCCCTTACCTCTTCATTATTGTTGCTGAGCTTTTATCTGCTTTGATCCTTAACTCTATCAACAATGGACTGCTCAAAGGGATGAAAATCTCCAGAAATGGCCCCTTGCTTTCTCATCTCTTATTTGCAGACGATTCACTCTTTTTCTGCAAGGCTGGAAATGACCAAGCTAGCATCCTTATGAGTATCCTAGAACAGTACCAGCTCTTCTCAGGCCAAGCAGTCAACCTAAATAAATCAAGCATCTTTTTTAGCAAGAACACTCCTCAGACCCTTCAATCTACCATCTGCTCCACTCTCAATGGCATTGTTGTCCAGAGATCTACTCGGTATCTTGGCCTCCCTTTAGGCATTGGCAAGAACAAAAGAGAAGTCTTTGACTATCTTCTTCAGGTTGTTCAGAAAAAGCTCACAGGGTGGCAAGGTAAGCTTCTCAGTTCTGCAGGGAAAGCTGTCCTCTTAAAAGCTGTTATCCAGGCTTTACCTATATTCTCAATGTCTTGTTTTAAGCTGCCAGCCACTCTATGTGCTGAATTTGCCAAACTTTGTGCTCACTTCTGGTGGAAATCTAACTCTGAAGCTAGCCAGGGAATTTTTTGGAAAAAATGGAGTTTTCTCACACTCCCAAAACAGTCAGGTGGCCTTGGGTTTCTAGATCTTCTTCTGTTTAACAAAGCTCTTATCTGCAAACAATTGTGGAGAGTTGCCTCCAATCCAGATCTCCTGGTCAGCAAAGTGCTCAAAGACAGGTACTTTCCCAACTCTTCCATTGTCAATGCAAAAAAAATCAATGGTGGTTCCTGGATGTGGAACAGTTGGATGGATGTCCTGCCAATGTTTGCTAAGTGGTTTAAAATTGAGATCAGAAATGGACTTAATACTAGAATTGATGATCATAATTGGGTTCCAAAGCTGCAGAAACCTTTCCCTTCCTTAATTCCTATTGCAAGGGGGCATTTAATATGGGTCAGGGAGCTGCTGCAGTCCAATGGCTCTCAATGGAATACCTGGCTTGTCAATCAGGTTTTTGATGAAGTTGACAGTAAAGCTATTCTTGACATAGGCACATTGCACCCTGAAAGAAATGATAGATACTACTGGGGCTTGGATAAAAAGGGTATCTTTTCAGTGTCAAGCACATATAAGCACCTCTCCCACCTAAAGCTAATGCAAGCTGATTTTCCAGAAAGCAGTTGGGCTGCAAACATAAAGAAATCTGCTAAACTGAGACTCTGGCACCTGAAGATAGCTCCTAAACTGAAGTTCTTTATGTGGAAATGCCTCAGTGGCACTCTTCCTGTTGCCTCTAATCTTTGGAAAAGGGGAATGCACATAGACACCACCTGTTCACTTTGTGGTGAAGCTCAAGAAAATCTGCAGCATCTTTTTGTCTCTTGCCCTAGAGCTTTGAATGTCTGGAAACTTAGTCCAGTTCAGTGGGATGATTTTAACAGAAGAGATGTTTCTTTCAATGAATGGTGGCACAGGATCTGCTCTCTGGATCATTCAGACGTGGCCGAAGCAAGAATCCAACTCTCTACATATATGCTTTGGTGGCTCTGGAAGTCCAGGAACTTATGGATATTTCAAAAAACTCTCATACCGGATCAAGTGTTGGTCCGAATGGCTCTTTCTGATTGGCTGCAATTTCAAGCTACATTTTAGTTCTTCTTTTCCTTTATTTTGCTCTTTGCTGTCCTGTTTTGGCTCTAGGCTAGTTTGGCTTTTTGGTTTTGTTAGAGATTGTAACTTGTTGCTAGGCTTTTGAAGCAGTGGTGGAGTTACTTTCTTTCTTTTCTAGTTGGTGTTTGAGGTTTTTTCTAGTCGAGGATCTAGACCGTCTGTGACGAGTCTCCCATGTTTTCTCTGTTGGTTGTTATTTTCGGTTGTATTCGAACTTTGTACGCTTTGAGTTTTATAATAGTTACGTCTGTCGTTTCGGGAAAAAAAAAAATATCAAATCATAAAAAAAATATTAAATCTATTTTGTAAAAAAAATAATATAATTTTATAACAATTCTACTACACTATTTAACAATATTTCTTTTTTATTATATGATAAAATAATAATTAAATATTATATGGTGAACAACAATAAGTAAAACTGTTACTTTCTCTTATATCAAGGGATAAATTTATATGCTAAAATTAAATTTTTATTAGTATAAATATTTTAGTGAGATAATATATTAATTATTTTACAAGCTAACCCTAACATGCTCATATTTAATGTCTTAAAAGATGTAGAAAAAAAAAACTTATAATAAATCTATTGTTTTTTAGACTTAAACGTTAATTAAAAGAGGTAAAAATTACTAATTATTTAGACTTAAACGTTGATTAACACCATAGATTGAGAGTTTATATTTAATAAAATTTCTAATTGTAATATAAAAAATTAATTTTTGTTATATTTTAGAATATCTTTAAATTCATTATAAAAAAAAAAAAGAAAAACTATAATGAAAAAAACAAGTCAGCTATATATCGATTTGTTGTACTCCTCAAATCACATTCACAATTTGGCTACAAAGAAAAGAAACTCATTGATTAAAATATTATTTTGTCAGTAATCTTAATGTACAAAAGACTTTAAGACTCTACTTGAATATTATAAAACTTTTATTGAACATTGTACACTTTTCTTGCGTATTATAAACTTTTATTGAATATTACATCTTATAATATAATATTCTTCAAATAAATATATCTCGTGCTTTGCACGAGTCACGTAATATATATATCCCGTACATTTTTATTTATTTATATATATAATTATAAATCTAAATAAATAGTTTTAAAATTGTACACCCGTGCATGCACGGGCTGTGTACTAGTTACATTTTGATGTGCTGTCGGCTTGCGGACTTGGTAGTTTGCGTGGTCCTTCAATTCAATGAAACCCGAATGGGGGCAAATCAGGAAACAGCCACGCAAAAGCAATTAGGCCGGTGAATTGGGTCCCACTGAAAAAGTAAAAAGATATTATTGGTAATATAATTAATTAAATAACACAAAAAACTAGTGGGGCCGAACTTGAAATTTGACAATTTCCTTCCCTTTTCCTATTTCACGACCTACCTACCTTTGTCTATTCCACCGCCGCCCTCCTCATTCGCACCCAACCATTTTTTTCTTCCCTACATTTCTATTCAAATCTAAACCGAGTTGGTTGCCAAATACATAAAAATGTAGTATATTACATTAATATTCAGCGATAAACATAAGCTTCTAAAAAAACAATCGGCTTTTATGTTAAAAATCAAATGCTTAAATCACAATTAGAATCAAATACTGAACTTACTAATCTTTTCTTTCAAGTAATGCAAACTTTGGTTAGATGAGAACAGAGCAATTGACACCCTATGTCAAAAATAAAATCTAATTTTTAGGTGTAGTTCTTGAAATTAACCAACTAGAGATCTTTATCTGTTAATCTGCAAACAAAATTGCTTGCTTCTTAAGGGGACTAAATTCCATTTTCTATTGGAGCTTTCTGGATTTCAATGGTTTACTGACTACGATTTATTAGTTATTACATGTTCTTTTGCTCCTTTCTGGGTTTAATATGATTTTATAAGACATGTTCTTTTACACCTTTCTGGGTTTCAATACTTGAATTAAAGAGGACAAACCTACACAAGAGCTACAAAACCTACCAAGAAGCAAGCAATTTAACTTGAACACTTTTAACAAGTCCCTGTTTCTATTCAATTACAGATTATAAACATGAATTTATAAACATGAATTAGGATTGAACAAACATGGAAAAGGGGAAAAACAAAGTAAACAAATCACAGTTTACTAACCTAAAAAACTACATATATAAATTTATATATAAATACTAATAATTACATAGATTAATGATACAATTCAAGTCCTACACCATCATCATCATCATCATCATCATCATCATCATAATAACACCAATATTACGACTAAAGCTGCAACAAAACCATACTATACACTTTGAAGTATGGATTACAAATTTCTGCAGCCCTTTTAATACCCAAACCCAACAAATCTGTCTATAGACTCTATACATAAAACCTATGTTATTAGTGAAAGATATTCGAAGTCTTTCACCGGATTTTACAATCCCTACATGAGTTTTATACCAACACGCAAAGCCCCCAACAAAAACAAGAAAAAAAAAAAGGAATAAAATAGTTAAAAAAATACCTATAAATTAAAGAAACAAACTTGATATATATAATCGGCTTCCCAATTTCTGATCTTGAATCCCGAGTCAACAAAATCCCAAGCCCGTATTTTGAAAAAATATTCTACGGCTGGAACTCGAGATGACCGGAATATTCAATCGGAGCAAGGACTTATCAAAGATCAATCGAGACGGAGCAGTCGCCTGAGGTCTCGGGTCGCCGGATCATCCGACGGCCTTACTTCTCCGCAGTCGATCTGCTCTTTCTTGTTGAAGAAGGACGGCAAAGGGAGGGCGCGTGGGGACGGCGACATGGTGAAAGCCGATCCGGCGTACACGTTGTGAAAGGACGGCGGCGGCGACAGGCGGATCTGCTTCGGCCGCAAGTTCGGCGACTCCGGTCCGATCCGGACGGTCCCGAGAACCGCCATGTCGTCGGCCGGTTTTTTCTGATTTGGGGATCTAGGGTTTGGTTTTCCACCCTTGATTTTGGACGCCAGCGAATCGAGAGACTCGCCCCGCCTGAGGATCGTCACCTGCCCCATCACGAGGCCGCCGGAGTCGTCCTTCCGCCGTCCCTCCACCTTTTTGTTCTCCGGCGAAGAGGTGGATCTCTTCTTGTCGGGCCGGGGAGACTTCTTTTTGTGGGCCGTGTGGTAACTATGCTTCCGATTGACGATTAGGTGGGTCAGGTTCTCATTTCCCGGAAAATTCCTCCGGCGGTGGAAAGACGCCGGAGGCTCGCGTAATCTGCCGGCGAGAAGATGTTGTGGCGGTAAAACTTCTGTTCCCATGTTTGTTTGTGAAGGGAGGATAGGATAAGTGGATATTTATAGAAACTAAAGAATGTGAGAGAGAAAAAGATGAGGCTTCAAACCGACCTTCACCGAGACGCGTGAACAAATCATGCAACTTGCAAGAGAGAGAAAGAAAATATATTAAAATTAAAGGAAAGAAAGGTGGGGAAAAAGGAATAAACAAGGGTAATACTTTTCCGCAATAAAGTTTCGTACATAGGATTTACCAAGGTATTACAACATTATTCATGGTACACATCTTACGTACTTGATGAATTTCTCCTAATCTAAGTGAAATGGATACAAACTGAAAAGTCGGGTGATTTATTTATTTATGGACAAAAATAAAAATAAAAAAAAAAGTGGACAAACCTAAAAACCACATATTCTCAGAATACGTTTTTCTAATAAAATTTTATTAGTAAAATGTATTTCAATAATACGTTTTATAACTAATTTTATAAAATTAAAAATAAAATTATTTTCCATTTAAAAGTTGAATTCAATTAACATTAGTGATTGTAACACGTATTTTGAAAATACGTTTATGCAAACCCTAAAATTGAATTTAGGGTTTTACAAAACATATTTTGTAAATACGTTTTGTTTTTAAAATTAAAAAAAATCTATTTAAAACGTATTTCAAAAATACGTTTATAAATTTAAATTTAAAACGTATTCTGAGAATACGTTTTATAATCAAATATAAAAAAAATTCTCTTGTTGTCCATTTCATTTACGCGAAGAATTGAGAGAACGGAGAGTGAGAACAGAGAAAGAAGAAGAGAAAAAACCTTCGGGAAAAAAAAAACGCGATCCGATCCTCACTCTGGTGTGAACCGACAACAGCGACACGAGCCTCATTTCCGATTAATTCATTCGCACGAGGTATATTGGCTTATTTCAACTTTTTACATTGTTTGGAGTTGTTTGGAGATTGCGAATTGTTATAGTATGTTTGAATGTGGTGGTGTTTGAAGATTGAGAATTGTTAATTGTTTATCGATTATGTGTGTATGTTGAATTGGAGATTGGAATTTTGTTGTAAATTGTCAATTGTGTATTGTTTGGTTGTTGTTGGACTTAGGGTTTTCGAAATTAGGGTTAGAATTAGGGCTTTCAATTTATCCGAAATATAGATGGATTTTATGTTATTGTTGATTATGGGTATTATGATTTTGGAAGATTATTTGATTGTGAATATTTATTTTGGTTTTTTGTTGGAGTAAATAATAGAATTTTTTTGGTGTTAGATTAGACATTATGTGTTGTTGCAATTGAGAAGAATTGAAAGTGTCTTTTTGCAACAGGTATTAATGGCGTATTCCGGTCCATACTTTGTTAATTTGTACTGGCATTTTGCGAAGGAAAGGTTAAGTGAATTTGTTTTATTTAAAGATCGTTCGGATGGTTCATTGTTTATTCTGGAGAGGATATCATATCAACAATTGGTAGAAATGATTAATGAAAATTGTTGGTTTGGAGAAGGTTGGACAATGAAGGAGATTACTTTAATAGTTAGCCAACCCGGTGGTTCGTTGAATTTCTTAAGACTTAATAACGATAGTGTTCTTTGGTATATTTATTACCTTCCTCCTATGTCCATAGTGTATTTGCATTTATCGTTGGAGGCAATTACACCGGTTACACAGGTTGAGGATGTGTGGGGATGTTACGGGGGAGTGGTGGATGTTGAGGGTACGTCGACTTCGCATCTACGTAATTTTGGAGAAGGGACAAGCTCAATAATGCAATGGGAAAATGAGAACTGGGAAGAAGAAGAAGGCGATGAAGATTTCATTCCTGGTGAAGATGATTTCACAGATGAGACCTCCGAAAGCGAATCAGACAGATCGATAAATGAGGAGAGTGAACCGGAATTGATTGAAGAGGAAGACCCTCTTCCTAGTGGTGGTCGCCACATTTATCGCGAGATGGGTGAATGGGAGCCATCGAAGATAGATGAGAACGAGTATGCTCTTCCATTTTGGAATGGTGACATTGAGACCATACATTTGGGTACAGTTTTTAGGAGCAAGGAAGAAGCACAATGGGGTATATTGGCTTGGAACGTTGATAGGCTGAGGGCGGTTCGGACAATAGATTCTAATAAAAAATCATACAAAATGGTGTGCAGATCTAATGAAGATGAACCTTGTGTGTGGAAGGCTCGAGTGACTAAGAAACGGGTTCATGAAATGTGGGAATTAACTGAATGGACTGACAAACACACTTGTATGCAACGGATCGAGAGAAATGACCACAGAAACGTAACCGCTCGTATGATTTCAAATCTTGTAATTAACAAGATTGAAAAGAAACTGGACTACAACGTTAGACTGATCCAGGCCGATGTGAAACAGTGCTGGAAAGTCGATGTCAGCTACAAGAAGGCGTGGCACGGAAGGAGAAAAGCCATCGAGCGTGTGTATGGCTGTTGGGAATCGAACTTCGCAGAACTCCCTCGGTAAGCAAAAATAATTACAAATACATGTGTCGTTTGTCTGTCACTATGTTTATCTATTTATGAAACCATTTTGTAATTTGCAGGTTTTTTGCCGCGCTTCAAAGAGCGAATCTCACCACAGTTGTACAGTGGGAATGGCAGGGTAGGGAAATGGCGCATCAGTATCAAGACAGACAATTCAAATTTGGATTCTGGGCGTTTGGTCCCGCCATTCAGACCATCCAACGATACCCGCCGGTCATTAGCATCGATGGCACATATTTGCGTGGATCGTACAAGAGAAAATTGCTTGTGGCTATAGCACAGACAGCGAATAAGCAGCTATTGGCAATCACCTATGCGATTGTTGATGAAGAAAGCAAGGATAACTGGTCATTTTTCCTTACAAATGTGCGTCAATATGTTGTGTTCGATCGACAGATCTGTGTTCTCTCTGACAAGGATAACGGCATACTCAGTGTCATTGACTCGTTGGTTGGTTGGCAAGAACCCGCTGCATATCACCGGATTTGCCTTCGACACCTTCGAAGAAACGTGATCACTAACTTTAGGAATAGAAAAGTGCGTGATTGGTGTTGGGATTTGGGTTCGCAGTTGTCGGAGCGAAAGTTTCGAGCGACAGAACAGCGACTGTTGAAATTTAATCCCCAGGCACACAAGTACTTTTTCGATATTCCTTTGAACAAGTGGACCCTGTATGGAGATGAAGGAAGACATAGATGGGGCACATTGACGACCAATATGTCAGAAAGCTACAACAACGTCTTGAAAGGCGTTAGGTTCCTGCCGTGCAGAGCTTTGGTACAGGCCACATTGGAAAAAACTCTGGATTTGTTAGAACATGAACAAAAGAAGGCCACGAGATGCATGAGTCCCATTGCTACTTAGCATTATAACGCCTATTTGGAATTGGAGCGTACAGCCGCAACCCATACTGTGAAATGTGTGAACGCCGAAATGTCCAGGTACAAGGTGAGAACCGGTCTACGGGCTAGTGGGAGAGGGCAAAACAGGTATATGGTTTTTTTTTTTTTTTCCATTCAAATATTTGGATGTTTATATATATAAATCATTGTTTGTGTTAACAGCTATAAGGTTAATTACCCCCGAAAACGTTGTAGTTGTCTGAAGTGGCAGACACACAGAAAATCGTGCTCTCATGCAATAGCTGTAGCTCGTCAAATCGGGACTGATCCAAAGTCGTTGTACGATACTGCATTTTGCACGGAGACGTGGGTAGCTCAATTTACTGGGGTTTTGCTCCAATTGGTACTGCGGATACATGGGCACCGGTAGGATGGAATTTGATACCACATTGGGAGAGGATGATCTTGAAGCCTGGACCTGGTCGCAAGCAAACGAGACGCTATCGCATGCAAATGGATCGTCGGGCGCGCCGCAGGAATGATAGGGGACAGTGTTCAAGATGTGGTAATCCCGATCATGTTATCGATGAGTGTCCGTCCTCACATCCTCCCACCGATAGGTCTAGACTTCGTGATGAGTGGGGGAACTAGATTTATTAGTGTTTATTCGGATTTGTTTGGAGGGTTCATTTGGATTTGGTTAGATTGTTATTTTGTTTTGTTTGGATGGTTTATTTTATTTAAATTAGTTTGGATGATTTATTTGAAATTGTTTGGATGGTATTTACGGGACATTAGTTGATTTGTTACTGTAATTTTTGTTTAGTTGGTTGTTTTGAATATTTAAAACAGGTATTTTTTTGTTAAAGAATGGAAAAACCAGTTTTTTTTTTAAACTTATAGTTTAAAACGTATTTTAATAATACGTTTAAAAAAACGTATTCACAGAATACGTTTTACAATTAATTACATGTAAAACGTATTCTGTAAATACGTTTTACAAAAAATAAAAAATAAAAAAAATAGTCACATATAGTATATAACATATAACATATAATATATAATATATAAATTAGTACAATTGAACTCGAATTAGTACAATTGAACTCGAATTAGTACAATTAAAGTCAATTATAGTGAAATCGAAATCAAATTAGTACAATTGAACTCAAATTAGTACAATTAAACTCGAATTAGTACAATTAAAGTCAATTATATTGAAATCGAAATCAAATTAGTACAATTGAACTCAAATTAGTACAATTAAACTCGAATTAGTACAATTAAAGTCAATTATATTGAAATCGAAATCAAATTAGTACAATTGAACTTGAATTAGTACAATTGAACTCGATTAGTTCAATTAAAGTCAATTATAGTGAAATCGAAATCAAATTAGTATAATTGAACTCGAATTAGTACAATTATACATAATATGTTATAGTAATATGTTATAGTTTATAGTATATAGTAATATGTTATAGTTTATATTATATACTATATAACATATAGTTTATATGTTATAGTTTATAGTAATATGTTATAGTTTATATTATATACTATATAACATATAGTTTATATGTTTATAGTTTACAGTAATATGTTATAGTTTATATAGTATATAACATATACTTTATATGTTTTAGTTTATACTTTATATGTTATAGTATATAGTTTGTATGTTATAGTTTATAGTAATATGTTATAGTTTATAGTTTTTAGTAATATGTTATAGTTTATAGTTTATATTAATATGTTATAGTTTGTATGTTATAGTTTATAGTAATATGTTATAGTTTATGATTTATATTAATATGTTATAGTTTGTATGTTATAGTTTATATTGATATGTTAAAAATACTATATACTATATATTATAATATATATATAGGGGATGGATCCAATGAGACTACTCCTTAAAATGAGTACGTGAGACTCAATCTTAGTCACTCATTTTGTCTAGATCAAAATCAATTAAAATATACATTAATTAAATAATAAAATAGTTGACCGTTGACTCCGGCGTTGACCGTTGACTTCCGGCGTTGACTTCCGGCGAGAATCGTTGACTTCCGACGTTGACCGTTGACTTCCGGCGTTGACCCGTTGTATTGAAATAAATAACCTAGCAACAAAAGACACTCAACCTTGTGTGGTGTAGTGGTTGCATTGCTTGTCTTACCTCCATGAGGTCATCAGACAACTAACCTAGCAACAAAACACAATTAACCTAGCAGCAAGAAAGAACAACTAAACTAGCAACAAATACAACTAACCTAGCAACAAAAGACAACTAACTAACCTAGCAACAAAACACAATTAACACAACTAAACTAGTAACAAATACAACTAACCTAGCAACAAAAGACAACTAACTAACCTAGCAACAAAACACAATTAACCTAGCAGCAAAAAAGAACAACTAAACTAGCAACAAATACAACTAACCTAGCAACAAAAGACAACTAACCTAGCAGCATGAAAGAACTAACCTAGCAGCAAGAAAGAAATAATCTAGCAACAAAAGACAACTAACCTAGCAACATCAGACAACTAACCTAGCAGCAAGAATAACCTAGCAACAAAAGACAACTAACCTAGCAACTACAGATAACTAACCTAGCAACTTAAGACAACTAACCTAGCAGCATCAAACAACTAGCCTAGCAGTAAGAAAGAAATAACCTAGCAACAAAAGACAACTAACTTAGCAGCAAGAAAGAAATAACCTAGCAACAAAAGAGCACCTTCATCCTTTCATCTGCCACCGTGGACAGGTGGGCTCAGCGGGTCCACGACATTACTGGCTTTGCGCGTGGCGACCTTCCCATTACCTACCTCGGGGTCCCTTTATATAAGGGCAACCTCACGAGAGCGCTTTTTGCGGGCGTCAGACAGAGGATGATCGACAGAATCTCTGGTTGGTCGCATAGATATCTTTCCTTCGGTGGTCGGCTAGCGCTGATCAAGAGCACTCTTAGCTCTCTTCCGATTCACTTGCTTATGGTCCTCGACCCCCCTAGGTCTACTCTTGACGAGCTTGACCAGATTATGGCTCGTTATTTCTGGGGTTATGAGGACGGGTCTGGGAGGGGGAGACGTACTCACTGGGTGAGTTGGGACTCTATCTGCCGCCCCCTCCCAGAGGGTGGCCTTGGCATCCGCCGTCTTAGGGACATTGTTACAGCTTTCTCATACAAGCTGTGGTGGCGCTTCAGGGAAGGAAAGTCGCTTTGGGCTCAGTACCTTCGCGGCAAGTACTGCCCTAGACGTGCCAACCACCCTTGTTGGGTCACGGCTGTTGATCATGATAGCAGACAGTGGCGGCGCCTCACTAGGGTCGGGAGGCGAGCCCAGGATCACATCTTTTGGGTTTTGGGCAGGGGCGATGTCAGTGTTTGGGATGAGTGGTGGGTAGGTGATAGGCCGTTGTCTAGGGATAGGCAGGTGTCGCATTCCCCCTACCTGCTCGTGAGCGACCTCTGGACGGACGGGTCGTGGGATAGGGGGAAGCTTGATAGGGAGTTGGGGGCTGGTGCGGGTTTTAGCGAGCAGTTATTAGATCAGATCCAGCAGATCCCTATCTCGGGGGACGGTTCAGATAGCATGAGGTGGAGACTTACATCATCAGGTGTGTTTTCTACTACCTCGGCTTGGGAGCAGATAAGGCTGAGGGATCGGCCTAATCTCCTCTTCGGGGCTATCTGGAGTGACCTTTTTACGCCTACTATTTCGGTATTCCTTTGGCGCCTTCTCTTGCGCCGGATACCCGTCGATACTGTGCTACACGCGAGGGGGGTCTCCTTCCCCTCTCGGTGTGTGTGTTGTTCTGAGACTGGACGCCATGAGACTGAGACCTTTACCCACCTTTTTCTAGAGAGTGAGATTGTGAAGAGAGTGTGGGAGCATTTTGCCACTTGGACTCATATATCCCTACCCACCACATACAGTTTTTTTGAGCTCCTGAGTTTTTTCTCATAGAGCACACACCTTAGACACGTGGGCTTCCTCATTCCTTGTCTGATCCTTTGGTTCACCTGTACAGAAAGGAATAGTGCGAAGCATAGGGATATTACTTTTATGTTTTCTCACATTGTTCTGCAGGTTGAGAGACACATTTCACTCCTCATCTCATTGGGCAGGCTCACGGCCCGAGATTGGACAGGCTGCACGCCACCGCATTGCTACATGGTGGCCCCACCACCGCCTGTTCGGACTCCTCGGGCCAGAGCTGTTGTTTGGCTTCGACCTGACTATCCGTGGGTCAAGTTGAACACTGATGGCTCCTTCGATAGCCACACTGGAGTTGCCGGAGGAGGAGGCTTGGTTCGGGACCATAGCGGCGCCCTCATCACCGCCTTTCACGCGTCCATTCAGGCATCCTCGAGCTACGACGCAGAGATTCAGGCACTACAGATTGGCCTTCAGATAGCTGCCCACATCTCTAGTCATATATGGATCGAGCTGGATGCTGCGGCTGTCGCCACCCTCCTGACTTCGGGCCATCAGGGCTCGTGGCAGATTCAGCACCCACTTATGCGCATTAGAGATATACTTCGGTCAGTCCATCACAGGATTACGCATATTTTCCGTGAGGGGAACAGACCTGCTGACTACCTTGCCAGCCTTGGTGCCACCATACCAGGCACATATACATTCCAGACCGACACTGCTCCACTCCGCCTTCGCACTCTTGTACGGATGGACCAGCTTGGATATCCAGCGTTCCGCTTTCACTAGTATAGGATTTCTATTTTCATTAGTATAGACATTTATCTCGGGCGTCTGTTAGCCCGAAGATCGACTTTATATTGTAGTTTTTTGTCTCTTTTTCGCTTTTCGGTTTTCCTTCTTGTTTTTCTTTTGTTTTTGTTTTTGATTATCAGTCTATGTAGACCTTTGTATCTAGCTCGTTGACATTTTGGGCTTCCTTTTTGGGGCCCTGATCTATGCACAGGTTGGGGATCCAGCCCAATCCCCCGCCT